CTTCGGAGGCATGCCGTCTTTTTCATGCAAACATTGCAGGTCCTCCCATGCCTCAGGTGTATCTTTTGTCTTTCCATACACGCCCAAGAAGCCTAGCAGGTTCACGCAAAGGTTCTTCGTCACGTGCATCACGTCGATTGAAGAGCGGACCTCTAGGTCTTTCTAGTAGGGTAGGTCCCAAAATATAGATTTCTTCTTCCACATGGGTGCGTGTCCCTCAGCGTCATTCGGAATAGCTAGTGCGCTGGGACCCTTTCCAAAGATTACGTGTAAATCATTGACCATAGCAAGTACGTGATCACCGGTACGCATGGCGGGCTTCTTCCGGTGATCTGCCTCGCCTTTGAAATGCTTGCCTTTCTTTCGACATTGATGGTTGGTCGGAAGAAATCGACGATGGCCTAGGTACACATTCTTCTTGCAGCTTCCCAGGTATATACTATCGGTGTCAAGTAAACAGTGCGTGCATGCGTGTTATCCCTGTTTGTCTGTCCTGAAAGGTTACTAAGAGCGGGCCAATCGTTGATGGTCACGAACAACAACACCTTTAGGTCAAATTCCTCCTGTTTGTGCTCATCCCATGTACGTACACCGTTTCCATTCCACAGCTGTAAAAGTTCTTCAACTAATGGCCTTAGGTACACATCAATGTCGTTGACGGGTTGCTTAGGGCCTTGGATGAGAACTGGCATCATAATGAACTTCTGCTTCATGCACATCCAAGGAGTAAGGTTATACATACATAGAGTCATGGGCCAGGTGCTGTGATTGCTGCTCTGCTCCCCGAAAGGATTAATGCCATCCGCGCTTAAAGCAAACCATATGTTCCTTGGGTCACTTGCAAACTCATCCTAGTACTTTCTCTCGATTTTTCTCCACTGCGACCCGTCAGCGGGTGCTCTCAACTTCCCGGTCTTTCTTACGGTCCTCTCTGTGCCATCGCATCAACTTGGCATGCTCTCCGTTTCTGAACAGACGTTTCAACCGTGGTATTATAGGAGCATACCGCATCACCTTCGCAGGAACCCTCTTCCTGGGGGGCTCACCGTCAACATCACCAGGGTCATCTCGTCTGATCCTATACTGTAATGCACCGCATACCGGGCATGCGTTCAGATCCTTGTACGCACCGCGGTAGAGGATGCAGTCATTAGGGCATGCATGTATCTTCTGCACCTCCAATCCTAGAGGGCATACAACCTTCTTTGCTGCGTATGTACTGTCGGGCAATTCATTATCCTTTGGAAGCTTCTTCTTCAATATTTTCAGTAGCTTCTCAAATCCTTTGTCAGGCACAACATTCTCTGCCTTCCACTGTAGCAATTCCAGTACGGTACCGAGCTTTGTGTTGCCATCTTCGCAATTGGGGTACAACCCTTTTTTGTGATCCTCTAACATGCGATCGAACTTCAGCTTCTCCTTTTGACTTTCGCATTGCGTCCTTGCATCAACAATGACCCGGTGGAGATCGTCATCATCGGGCACATCGTCTGGTCCCTCTTGATCTTCAGCAGCTTCGCCCGTTGCAGCATCATCATGCACATCGTCTGGTTCCTTTTGATGTTCAGTAGCATCACCGTATTCAGGGGGCACATAGTTGTCATCGTACTCTTCTTCTTCGCCGTCTTCCATCATAACCCCTATTTCTCCGTGCCTCGTCCAAACATTACAGTGTGGCATGAAACCCTTGTAAAGCAGGTGGGCGTGAAGGATTTTCCGGTCAGAGTAAGACTTCGTATTCCCACATATAGGGCATGGATAACACATAAAACCATTCTGCTTGTTTGCCTCAGCCACTTCGAGAAAATCATGCATGCCCTTAATGTACTCGGAGGTGTGTCTGTCATCGTACATCCATTGTCGGTTCATCTACGTGCATTATATATAATTAAGTGTGTCAAAAACCATTACAGAACATCATGAATAGATAATTAAGTGACCAAATTAATAGAAGTTCATCATCACATTAAAACCAAAGTACATACATAGTTCTCATCTAACAACTGCAGAGCATCTAAATTAATTAAACCATACATTGAAACTATGTAAAACATTTTAATGCGAAAACAAATGCGATCATAATCGCAACCAAGGTAACAACTGATCCAACAGCATAATGATACCAAGCCTCAGTATGAATGGCATATTTTTTAATCTTTCTAATCTTCAAGCGCATTGCATCCATCTTGATCTTGTGATCATCGACGACATCCGCAACATGCAACTCCAATATCATCTTCTCCTCCTCAATTTTTCTTATTTTTCCTTCAAGAAATTGTTTTCTTCTTCAACTAAATTTAACCTCTCGACAATAGGGTCGGTTGGAATTTCTGGTTCAACAACCTCCTAGATAAATAAAATCTATGTCACGTTGGTCGGCATAATTGTCATAAACAATAAATGAACCAATAGTTATGAAAAGATAATATATACCACATCTGAATCATAGACAGGACGAGGGCCGACGAGGGCGGATACCAAAACCATCGCACTATATAAGATGCAATAATAAAAGTAAGAAAATAATACAAGTATCTATCTAAACATACAAGTAAGAATATTTTTCCTTTAAGAAAGAAGATAAGAACAAGAGGCTCACCACGGTGGTGCCAGCGATGAGATCGACGCGAGTGATCGACGGCGGTGAAGACGGGGACGGCGCGTGATGGACTGCTAAACCTAGACAAATATTGAGGAAAATGAAGAAAGCTTAAATAGTGTGGCTCGGGCATTCCATCGAACACCTTATGTGCATAGGAGGTGAGCTAGAGCACCACCAAGCCCTCTCCCCCTCGACGGCCAGAAAAAACAGAGCAGTGTGCTCTGCTCTTACACAAGGGAGTATATATAGGCACATCATTGGTCCCGGTTGGTGGCATGAACCGAGACTAAAGGGCAGCCTTTGGTCCCGGTTTAAGCCACCAACCGGGACCAATGGTGGTCAAGCCACCAACCGGAACCAATGATGGTGGGCCAGGAGCGAGGCCCATCGGTTCGTCCCACCAACCGGAACCAAAAGGTCCAGACGAACCGGAACCAATGACCCACGTGGCCCGGCCGGCCCCCGGGGCTCACGAACCGGGTCCAATGCCCCATGGATTCCGGTTCTGGACTGAACCGGAACTAATGAGCTGACCCGGCCTGGACCTTTGCCCTCTTTTCTACTAGTGTTACCCTATAGTTTCAACTAGACAGCAACGAACAAGGGTCACCACCACCGTCCACCGGAGTATATTCAAGTAACACCAATGATGTTTAGATAAGGATGATGGAGTAACATCAATTCCAGCGTCCGTACGAGCGTTGAGGAAGCTGCAAACACCAGGTGGATTGTGTGCTTTTGAAGCAACAGATTTTTCTTCCGTTTTAAATGTGACGTGGAAAATGGCAAAGGACATCACGCCGCTTTTCAGTTCCTGCGGCCGGTCGGGTCAGAGTTTGAATCCTTCGCATACCCTTTTGCACGTCGCCCCTTCTGCGTTCAAAACTATTTACACTTGGCTCCTCCACACTCCTCCTTCCCCCCTCATTAATGCTTCTCTGAGCTCACCACCTCACCACCGCAGAGAGAAACAGAGAGAGAAGGGCATTTTGTGCAGTTCCAACTTCCAAGAAGCGGAGAGAGAGAGGGGCTTGAGCTTCGATCTATGTGTCCGCAGCCGCGATTTCGAAAGGGAGTGCAAGAGGGGGAGGCGGCGAGTCCAAGATTTTAGTTGGAGTGAGGGGAGAAAGCTGCGCGGCGACGACGCCCATGCGCGCGAGCTCGGCCGCTGTGTGAGGAGTGGTGGTGGAAGCAACCCAGGAGGAGAGAGGATGACGGGGGTGGTGGTGGTCTCCACGGGGTGCAAGGGCGGAAGCGTGGGGAAGAAGAGGGGCGGCGGGGAGGAGGCGGAGGAGCGGGAGAGGCAGCAGCTGTCGGTGCTGGCGCTGCTGCTCGCGGCCGTGCGGAGGTCGGTGGTGGCTTGCCGGGTGGAGCGGGGGCCGGACCGCGTCGCCGGTGGCGGCGGCGGCTGCCGCTGGGGGGAGAACGACGAGGACGCGGCCGCCCCCGAGCTGGCGGAGATGGAGATCGGCTGGCCGACCGACGTCCGCCACGTCGCGCACGTCACCTTCGACCGCTTCCACGGCTTCCTCGGCCTCCCCGTCGAGTTCGAGGTGGAGATGCCTCCCCGCGTCCCCAGCGCCAGGTACCCTTCCTTCCATCCATGAGATCTCAATCAACCTTCCTAGCTTCCTTCCATGTTCGACAAGATATATATCTTCAGCTTCTGCAAACTGTCCCAAATTAAGGTTGAACATTTTGTGTGAAGTAGAGAAAAAAATCTACGGAGGTTGCTGATTTGGAACTCGGTCTTGAGCAACTCGGAGCATGCTTGGATACGTTTTAGTCCCATGACTAAAAGTAGTGGGACTAAAACTTGCTAGTCTCACCCATGCTTGGATCCAAATACTAAAGAGACTAAAATCTAGTTATTGAGCATTTATTATCCTCCAAACCCTCCAATCCAGAACTAAGGAGAGGAATTAAATGAGGAGAGAGAGAGCTAATACATATTTTAGTAGGTTTCCCATGACTAAAAGATTTTAGCCTCAAGACTAGTCCTAGCCTCTCTTTAGTCAGGGGTGCTTGGAACTTTAGCCTCTAAAAGAGACTATTTTTAGTCAGACTAAAAATAGTCCCTTGTATCCAAGCACCCTCTCGTGCTGGTTGCTTGATGTGGGGGTCTGAGAATTGCTGTCATTTTTGTTAAAATTTCTTGACCTGTTCAAGCAACTTTACTTCCTGATAGGTAGATAGATCTGGAAATACGGCAGGAGTTTCTATTCGTATTAATTCAGAAGTCCCAGTAACGGTGGGTGCCTTTAATAGCTTCCTTTATAAAACCAAGACTTTAAATGATCTAGAATGTGTTTTGGTTCAGTGGGATGATAGAACAACTTTTCTGGAAATGTCATAAAGAATTTTGATTTTTAGCCAACTATGCTTCTTTTATTTCAGAATGTCTGTTATCATAAATTTGCCCTTCAAGATTCAATATGGACATGGAGTTTACAGGACGTCTAAAACTGATATTTAATATGCACATGGAATTAACTGCATGACTACAGAATGGTATTTAATGGTGACTTTGTCCAAGATTCCGTGTGCACATGGAATTAACTTGAACACTAAAATTGATATTCAGATATGACTTTGTCCAAGATTCTATATTTGAACGCAATTCACTCAACAAAGCGCAAACAAAGATGATTACAATTTTTTTCCTGCAGTGCGAGTGTTTTCGGTGTCTCAGCTGAATCAATGCAATGCACCTACGATGGTAAGGGAAACTCGGTCCCCACGATACTGCTGCTTATGCAGGAGAGGTTGTATGCTCAGGGGGGGCTAAAGGTCAGACATCATTAGTCATTAGTTGCTCCATACCAGAAGGCCTGAATCAGCATGAATTTACTCATCCGAGTTTTGTATCTTCAGGCTGAAGGGATCTTCCGCATAAACCCGGAGAATGACCAAGAAGAGCATGTGAGGGATCAACTGAACAAAGGAGTTGTTCCTGAGGACATTGATGTTCACTGCTTGGCAAGCCTCATTAAGGTACATTTGTCCTTCACTCGTATCAACATATGATGACACAATAAGGACAGTGTGTTCACACGATCGATAGACTGTAATCATAAGGCTACAATCAAATGTTAAATAAGGACTATTGGTTTTACAAGACGACATAACTACAACTTGTATGTATTGGTCAGGCATGGTTCAGGGAACTTCCTGAAGGTGTGCTGGATAGCCTCTCCCCGGAGCAGGTTCTGCAATGCAATTCTGAAGAGGAATTCCTAGAGCTTGTGACGCTACTGCGCCCCACTCCAGCTGCACTCCTCAATTGGGCTGTTGAGCTAATGGCTGATGTTGTGGAGGAGGAGGAGCTAAACAAGATGAATGCTAGAAACATAGCCATGGTATTTGCCCCCAACATGACTCAGGTAATCACTGCATTTAGTCTTCTTGCAGGGTAGCACATGTCTGTACTTACCTGACCTCCGGAAAAAGAAAAAACCAACTGGCAAGTTGCCCATTACTGCGGCTAATCTTTAAACTTTTTATTCAATTCTAGATGTCAGATCCTTTGACAGCCCTGATGCATGCTGTGCAAGTCATGAACTTTCTCAAAACATTGATCTTGAGGACGCTTCGAGAGCGTGATGATGTAGCTCCTGGAGATTACACTCCATACTCATCTCCAGCATCTTCCGGTCGGCATTCTGATGCCGAATACTATGGCAGTGAGCGGGAGATGATGGACAGAAGCTGTGAGCTGAGCGATATGCACAGCCAGATCAGCAAGTCCGGGGGGCAGGTGGATTATTTGGTGAGGTACAACACCTGTTTCGACAGCGAACAGGAAGGCGACCATCCCCTCACCGAAGCTGAAGAGGTATTCTTGGATCGGCTGGAAAGCCAACTCGAAGACGACAGACCAGAGGGAAGCACAAACAAGCAGCGCGAAGTAAGCTCCGAGATTGTGGAAATGGAGGACGATCAACCTGAACTGAAATCTGAAACCAAGGCACTGGAGGACATACATGAAGAAGAAGAAGAAGGTGCAGAGTTATTGAAATGATAAAGAGTCTTGTGTTCTTGGGCAGGTAGATCTTGTGGTTTTACTCTCTGGTGGATTGAGTTTGTCAACATCTGGTTGAAATGTATTGCTTGTAGTGCCTGAACTTAACTCTGCTGGTGCTGTGATATGGCCATGTGGGTCATTCATATCTGTCCTGCCGTAGGACACCACCAGGATTCACTGCTGTATGGTCAAACAGTGTTGTATGGAAATGACTGCATTAGTGTGCACTCGATGTTATTCTATCTGTACAAAAAATCTTCTTTTATTTTTTCATATGTGACTTGATTTCTAATTGTTCATGGTGGTGTCTGCCAAAATATGGTGCTAACGAGACGCTAGAATTTAGCAGTGAGATGGCTTCAGTAACAGTTACTTTCATGTTCAACTTCATCCCACTCTCACCAGCGAAACACGTTGCTAAGTCTGAAATCGCAGTGAAAAATTTCAATATATATTCCTAAACAAAGAACACATTTTTGTTGTAGTGGAGGTGTAGAACTCGTCATCTGTAATAGTTACCTGATGTTACTTTTCCAGTTAACACAGAGTTACATGCATCAATCAAGAGTTCAGAGTACAGCAATAAAACTAACCACACGTACATTTATCAGCGTTAGAAGTGATATTACAACGAAGTGGAAAACTGTGATATCCCAGTTACTTTCCCCTCGCAAGAGTATTATAAGAAATAATATCGATCATAAGAAATAATATCGATTAATGACATAGCTTAGTACACAAACCAGTGTTATGTTTCCCCTTGCAAAGAATATTGGATACTAGTATACTGGTGTTGTTTAGTATTTGCCTATCCAGATTAGTGCCATAGCTTAGTGCAGAAACCAGTCCTTGGCCTTTTACTGGCAACAATTTCTTCAAATGAATCCAGGAGCTGCCCTGCCAAACTACCGGGCTCATCAACGAGGGTGTGGATGAAGGTCAAGACAACCCTCCGCTCCTGCTCCGTCGATCTCAGGCTAAACCAGGTTAGGAATCTCATCCTAAATTCTTTCTCGATGTGGCCACAACATTCCAACCATCGAATAGTCTTCACACAGTACTCATAGTTATTATCTAGCTCACCTAACCTACGGGAGAAGTGCCTCTGTGAACCGATGACCAAATTGCCATCCTCTGCACAGGTTTCCTGCTCCAAGTCTGATGTCTGCTTCCGACTTTGTGATCGGGATTCCATTGCAGGTGCCTCGCCGACATGCCCCTCCGTGCAGGTCGCAAAATCACCACAGCCATTGGACTTCCTCAAATCATTCTTTCCTGAACTATACCCGTTCTCATTCCGGAGGCACTCTGTTGGCATGACTACCTCAGCGTTTAAATCTGGGACTGAGGTTTCATTAAGATCAAGTTTGCGTGAAACAACATGTGCAACTTGACCCTTCTCTAGTATCACTGAATCACTCTGATTGCAGGAATCTTCAATCTCATCTTTACAGAACTCACTGGGGAAACCATCCTCTTCCCATGCCCTCCGTAACACTTTACCCAGCTGGCGCACCTTGAAGCCTGATGACCTGCCATTTTGCCTCTTGACATTTCTCTTGGCAGTAGATGAGCAACCTTCTGCGCCGTGCTCTATATTCTTGTGCATGATCTCCACACTCCTTGTAAAGCACTTAGACTCGGAGTGGCCAAGTTCACCATCCTCAATAAATGAAATGATCCGAAAGGCATACTCCGTGCAGGGCTGCAGACTGGAAATCAATATCCTTCTTTGGTCTTTGGGGAAAATAACAGGCTCCCCAGTGGAAGGCGGTTCTCTGCTGTTCCAGTACCAAAGCTTGTAGCCTTTGATAGCATGATACTGCGAGGAAGCAGTTTCTTTCAGAACAATCACTAATGATGAAGCTGTAATATCTTCAAATCTAAACCTGCAGGCAGTAGGAAGTGTATCTGCACCATGAAAAGAAGTTTGTAAGATTCATAAAAGAATTAAGTTCCACATGAACCCACTAGAAAGAGGTAAAACTTAAAAAAAAAATGAAGTACCAATTTGTTTAGTTTCTGCTTGAGAGTTTGACTGCAGCCAGTCATCTGCCTTCTCCATTGCTAGAGAGCAAAGTTTCTGCACATCGGCAGCAACAGGAAGCCGGCCCACAATGCACCGGGCCATCTTAGAAGACCCATCAAGGGGACCAACCTCAGTTTCCAGCTTTGCCTTTGCATCCTGTACAATCTGATGCAGCTCTTTAAAACGGGTTGTGCCATCCAAAAGCCTATGACTTAGGTATATACGAGAACAAAGAATATCAACCCGACGAGCATCTTTAGCAACCGCTAGCTGCCTTTTCCAGAACCTGCTCAATCCAAAGGTACCATAAATAAGCAAAACTAAAAGGAAATAAACAGAAGGGTTTTTTTTTTCGAGAATGACGGGGGGGCATTGTGCCCCACCGGTTGTTATATTACTCGAAGGACCTGGCAGTCATACAGTGTTTTTCATCGAAAAGATAAAAAACAACATGATAAGAAGCGAAAAAAAAAAGAGAAACCCGCCATGAGGCAGTCTAGAGGACTGAGAGAAAGAAAAGTCGGATGGCCAGAAGTCGATCCCGAGACGGAGCGTCATAGCGCCTGCTCCAAATCAGGAGGTCGTCGGCCGTCCTCGCGAGGATATCACAGGCGGTGCAGCGTATGTTGTTGAAGGTGGCGTTGTTCCTGGCCTTCCAGATCTGCCAGAGAAGCACGTAGAGCCCATCTTTCCACAACGCAGCCACGTCGGCGGACGGCGAGGGAGAGGCGAGGATCGCATCCACCGAGGGGAAAGGGCCCAGACCGAGGCGAGTCCAGGTCGAAACCGCACGACCGCAGGCGGCGAAGATGTGAGAAGTGGACTCCTCGTTGGGGCAGGAGGCGCACGTGCTGGAGGGGGTGCAACTCTTCGCATGCAGGTTCTTCCGGGTACTAAGGCGGTCCCGGACCAGAAGGCACGCGAAGATCTTGATCTTCCGCGGGAGACGCGAACTCCAGATGTCGATGGAAGACTGGCAGAGCACCCCGTGGGGGGACATGACCCTGAACGCGGCGCACGAGCTGAACTCCACGTCCTCCCCCCAGGCCATGAGTCGACGATCCGGAGCGTCCACAAGCCCAAGGTCACTGATGATCGCCTGCACAGCTGCAAGCTGGGAAGCGGCAACGGAGGAGAGGCGCCTCTGGAGGTGCAGACCGTCGGCGGACACTGCTGCCACCGAGGCGTTCGGGCGCGTCGAGTGAGAGTACAATGCCGCGTACTCAAAGCAGAGGGCGCGGCCGGGCCGCCAACGGTCGTGCCAGAACGAGGTGGCGCGCCCGTCGCGGAGATCCACGCGGGTGATAGACCTGTACGTCGGGAGGCCGCTGAGAATGATGGCCCCAAGGAAAGAAGGAGCCGAGCAGGGGTCGCCAACATCTCTCCTGGTGGTGCTGAGAAACCACCGTTTCCACGGCGGACAGTCGGGTTGATGAAGCTTGTGGACGAAGTTGAGGAGCAGACACATGTTCTGCCGACGGAGATCCCGGATCCCGAAGCTGCCTTCCTGCACATCTGCACACACTTTATCCCAAGCAATTAGACAACGCGCACCGGAGCAAGTATCCTTGCCGGTCCAAAAAAAGGCACGACGCCTACGATCAATCAACTCAATCACACCAGAGGGAAGCAAGTACGAGCACATGAAGTAGGTGGGGAGGTTGTTGAGAACGGCATTACAAAGGACCATCCTACCCCCTGACGACAGGAGGAGGGCACGCCAACCAGAGAGGTAACGGTCAAAGGAGCGGATAAGAGGGTCGTAAGCGGAGATGGGAAGTTTCCAGGGGGAGAGGGGGAGACCCAGGTAGGGTTGAGGGAAGGAGGAGATGGGACAGCCGAGGGTAGTAGCCATGGCGGCTGACAGATCGTCGGGGCAGTGCATGGGAATAAACCCAGACTTGTGGAAGTTGATGGCCAGGCCGGTAGCAAGGGCGAAAGAGTCAAGGATGGTTTTGAGAGTCGCCGCCGACTGGGGGTCCGCACGGCAGAGGATAAGGGTGTCGTCGGCGTATTGGAGCACAGGGCAGGGGAGCGAGGGGTCAATCGGGTGAGCAAGCCTCCCATCCGAGGAAGCCGAGCGAATAAGACGCTGGAGGACATCGGCGACAAGAATAAAAAGGTACGGCGAAAGCGCGTCCCCTTGACGGAGGCCATTGCGGCAAAGGATCCAGTCCCCAGGGATACTGTTGAGAAGGACGGCGGTGTGTCCTGTAGAAAGAATGTCTCGGATCCAACCGCACCACCGGGAGTTGAATCCACGGGCTGAGAGAACGGAAAGGAGGCTGGACCAGTTAACCGAGTCGAAAGCCTTCCGAAAGTCGATTTTGAACACAATCGTGGGGGCTTTCCGGACGTGGCAGGCACGAAGGAGGTCGGCCGCGTAAACAATGTTTTCTGAAATACGCCGACCCGGAAGAAAGCCGGTCTGGTCAGGATAAAATCTACAACTGTCATACTTCTAATGTATGTTTCAGGCAAAACTAACAAATAGGTTAGCTGACGTTTGGAAATATCATGACTTAAATATTTAAAACCCAACGAAACCTATCATAGAAAAGTTCTGAGACAGCTAGCAAAAATGAGACGAAATCAACATCTCAACAATTGCAACCTTAACTGATAAAACCAGGAAAAATGCAACATAACAGAAACTGCAATGTAGAAAATGCATAGCAACATTCCCATACTGAAAATATATGCCAATGCATCAGCAAGAGGCCAAACTACTCACCCAAGTATTCCAATAACCTTCCCGCAGGCAGCACAGCAATAGTTACCATCTAGGTGCATAGATTGCCCAAGATCGATGCGCCCTGCCTTTCGGCGCTGGAGTGCGCACTCAACGTGGCAGGACGACTCACAGCAATCTGTGTCACCAGTCTCCGATGAGCAGACGAGCCAAAGGCTAGGATCTTTGTTGTCATCGAAAAGGTGACATATACAACACGAACACCGTTTACAGAATGTATTCTCTGAGGTAAGCACAGCTTTGCAGGCTGCATTTTTGCATATCCATGTGGAAGGAGGCTTTTTGTCTTGAAACATTTCGCTCTCACGAAGTTGAATAGGATGGCCCCCCTTTCTTGGCGGCTTTCTGAGAGCCTGAATACCAGTGAGGCTTGGACTATTGTTGTTATTTGAGAAGAGCTTCTTGGAATCGATGTTCTTGCACCTTTTTACGGTTGCTTCTCTTGGAATTTCTTCCACCGACTTGCATTTGGATACCACAGACTGTTTCTTTTCTGTACTAACACTAGCATCGTTTGATTCTTGTTCCGGAAAAAAATTCAATGGTTCCTGGGCATAGTCTGAGATGGCGTTGCTGTCATCAGCGGGTTTAATCTCTTCATGTTCGCTCGCATCACTAGAAGCATGTAAAGCTAGCAAGGGAAAAGACAAAGTAGAAAAAAGGAACAAAAACATTAGTATGGACAGAAAACAACAAATCTTATGAACTAAATACCACCCATCTCCCGGCAATTAAAAACTACTTGTAGATACTAGCATGGTTTCACTTGTTGAGCACTTGGAATATGCAATCCTTAGCCTAAACTCCCCGCCATTAAATATCACCTATCGCCCGACATGCTGCTAGTCAATTAATTAAACCGCTAAAAGAGGAAAGTGGTAACTAGTAAAACACGCGTGGCTAAGAAGAAAGCAAGCATCCATCCATGCTTGACTTGGCCCAGTACGCGGGTTCACACGCAGCATGGGACCCACCAACCAGGAAGCTAAGATCGAGCTTGCGCGCGCGCTCGCGGGAGAAGAATGATCGGATCGGATCGGATCGGATGGAATCACGCACGGATGCATTCAGGGGAGCTGAAAGCGTAGGATTCGGGTTTGATTGCTCACGGCGAAGAAGAAGAAGAAAAGGTAGCCTAATAAGCGAGCTGCTAGGTAGGGCCGGCTCACCCGCAGCGGCGAATCCGGACGGATCTCCTCCGGTCGACTTCATCCCCGTGGAGGGCCGCGGCCGCCGCAGTGGAGCGCGAGGGGAGAGCGGATGGTTCTGCTCCGGCCGGACGGCTGCTGCGGCTTTGGTGGAAGGAGAGGAGAGGAGGGTTTTGTTCCTCTCCCGGGATGGTGGTGCACGAGACCGACAAGACAGAGGGTGGAGGTGGGCCGGCCCGATCATTGGGCTTCCATCTCATCTTCCCGTAAGAATACGTTTTTTTTTTCTATTTCCAAATTTTGAGTTTTCCAAACGTTCAAGTTGAGAGATCCACTTTGCCACCCGTCAACAAAAAAAAAGATCCACTTTTCTCTATCTCTATCTTTACTTCTCTACTTACTTAAAAAGAAAGTAAGGTTCTCATTTCAACTTTTTTTCACCACCCCTTCGTTCAACCTTCCTTGTCAATCAACTTAATTTACTTATCTTCCAAACCAATTTCACTTTAATTTACTTACCAAACTTCTAATCGAAATATAAGGTAATTATCTCTACTTTTTTTTAAAAGAACGTAAGGTTCCCATTTCACCTTTCTTTTCACTGCCCCTTCGTCCAACCTTCCTTGTCAATCAACTTAATTTACTTACCTTCTGAAGCAATTTTACTTTAATTTACTTACCAAACTTCTAAGCAAAATATAAGGTAATTCATGGCCAGAATTTGATGAACACTTATTTACACAATCACACTATTATGAATAGGTAAATCACAAGCTAAAATATTAGAATATTTATATCTCGTTGCAACGCACGAGCAATGTTCTAGTAAATAAAAAGGTGAGAGATTCACTCGGTCATTAGACCAATTCTAGCAAATTCGTCATATCGACGAGGACGATCGTCGTCCGCTATATAAAGCACGTTTCATATGAACTTGAAGGTTGTGACCACTCTATGCAAACACATAGCAGCCATAATTGGCTTCCATATCTTCTTTTCCGTCATTTTCTTCAATTTTGTAGGTGTAATTTAAGCTTAAATTAGACATATCAAACGCAAGTATCACATAAATAACTTAATAGAAACTTAAGTTAATCATAACTTCACCCCTCGCGACACCTATCAGATCGCTAAAGCAGACCGTGGTTTTTGACTCCAAGACCAAGGAAAAAAAGGTGCTGCCACATCTTTTTTGGGGGGTTCTACCAGAAAGAAACCGCAGTTGATCTGACCCCACGTCGTCCCTAGGGTGGCACGAGGGAACCATACTTGCTCCGCCGCCCCCCCCCCCCTTCCAGCATGTATCCCCATCCCACCACCGCCGGATGAGTCCGCCGGGCGTAGCCCGTGCTGGAGGACGACAACGGAGGGGCTCTTCGCGTGCGGCCGCCTCGGCTTGCGGCGTGAGCCCGTGGTGGTGGGAGGCTCGTCCTCAACGTCTCTGGCCGGTGTGGCTGCCTGGCTCAGTGTCCTCGTCCTCTCTCGGGTGATGGTCTGTCGGCTGCTCGTGGTTGCCTCGACGCGACGACATCCCGAGGTGTCAGATTTGGCCATGGCGGGCTCGGCCTGATCTGGCATGTTGGCTCCAGCCGGCGGTGAGGTTGGTGGTCGGGCCAGTGGGTTCACAAGTCGGCGGCTCTGGGGTTCTCCCATCTTCGCCCGACAGCGTGAGGGTGCGGAGGTACGGTGGCTCCGGGCAAAAGCTGATGACGCGGCGTCTTCGGATGTCGCTCTCCTCCTGGGAGCCTTCGTGGAGCTCTCCGACCTCCTCCTCTCTCGGGCCACTTTTTTCGGTGAAAGCCTAGGTCCTTCAGTGCAGGGCCGGATTATGCGTTGATCCATGCTGCTTCCCCTCCTGAGGGTGTCGTCTTGAAGATCGTGATTCCCTGCGTGCTTTCGAGGAGTTGGACTTGCACGTCATCGCGACAGGTGGCCGGCGATGCGAGAGGTGCTAACTGGAGGGCCCAGAGGTGGAGCGGTGTTACCTCCTTCGCATCTATCTACTACTTAAAAATAACGTAAGGTTTCAATTTCACCTTTCTTTTCACCACCCATTCATCCAACGTTCCTTGTATGATAGTCAATCAACTTAATTTACCTACCTTCTGAACTAATTTCATTTTAATTTACATACCAAACTTCTGATCAAAATATAAGGTAATTCATGGGCAGAATTTGATGAACATTCGTTTAAACAATCACACTATTATGAACAGGTAAATCACAAGCCAACGTACTAGAATATTTATATCCCGTTGCAACGCACAGGCATTGTTCTAGTAAATAAAAAGGTGAGAGATCCACTCGACCATTAGACCAATTCTAGCAAATTCGTCATATCGACGAGGACGATCGTCGTCCGCTATATAAAGCGCGTTTCATATGACCTTGGAGGTTGTGACCACTCTATGCAAACATATAGCAGCCATAACTGGCTTCCATATCTTTTTGTCATTTTCTTTAAATTCTACTACTTAAAAATAACATAAGATTCTCATTTCACCTTTCTTTTCATCATCCATTCGTTCAACGTTCCTTGTATGATAGTCAATCAACTTAATTTACTTATGAACCAATTTCACTTTATTTTACTTACCAAACTTTTGATCAAACTATAAGATATTTCATGGGCAGAATTTGATGAACATTTATTTACACAATTGCACTATTATGAATAGGTAAATCACAAGCTAACGTACTAGAATATTTATATCCCGTTGCAACGCACGGGCATTATTCTAGTAAATAAAAAGGTGAGAGATCCACTCGACCATTAGACCAATTCTAACAAGTTCGTCATATCGACGAGGATGATCGTCGTCCGCTATATAAAGTATGTTTCATATGAACTTGGAGGTTGTGACCACTCTATGCAAACACATAGCAGCCATAACTGGCTTCCATATCTTTTTTTCGTCATTTTCTTCAATTTTGCAGGTGTAATTTAAGCTTAAATTAGACATTTCAAACGCATGTATCACATAAATAACTTAATAGAAATGTAACTTAATCCTAACATCACCCCTCACCACAGCTATCAGATCGCTAAAGCGGACCGTGGTTTTCGACTCCAAGACCAAGGAAAAAAGGTGATGCCACATCTTTTTTTTGGGGGGGGGAGGGGGTCTACCTGAAAGAAACCACAGTTGATCTGACCCTGCGTCACCCCTAGGGTGGCTCGAGGGAACCATACCTGCTCTGCCGCGGCCCCCCCTCCAGCACTGCTGCCCCTCCCGCCACCGCCAGATGAGTCCGTCGGGCGAAGCCCATGCCGGAGGACGGAGGTGGAGGGGCACTTCGCGCGCGTGGCTGCCTCGGCTTGCGGAGTGAGCCCGTGGTGGTGGGAGGCTCGTCCTCTGCGTCTCCGGCACATGTGGCGGGTGCCCGGCTCGACGTCCTCGTCCTCTCTCGGGTGATGGTCTGTTGGCTGCTCGTGACTGCCTCGACGCAACAGTGATACGTCTCCAACGTATCTATAATTTTTTATTGTTCCATGCTATTATATTACTTGTTTTGGATGTTTATGGGCTTTACTCTACACTTTTATATCATTTTTGGGACTAACCTACTAATCGGAGGCCCAGCCCAAATTGCTGTTTTTTTTGCCTATTTCAGTGTTTCGAAGGAAAGGAATATCAAACGGAGTCCAAACAGAATGAAACCTTCGGGAGTGATCTTTTTGGAACAAACGTGATCCAGGGGACTTGGAGTGGACGTCAAGCAACAGAGGAGGCGGCCACAAGGGTGCCCGGCGCGCCCCCTGGTGGTGGGCGCGCGCCCCACCCTCGTGGGCCCTCGAGTGTCCACCGACCTACTTCTTCCTCCTATATGTATCCACGGACCCCGAAAACATCCAGTGGCACCACGAAAAATTATTTCCATCGCCGCAACCTTCTGTATCCGTGAAATCCCATCTTGGAGCCTTCGCCGACACTCTGCCGGAGGGGGAATCGACCATGGAGGGCCTCTACATCATCTCCAAGGCCTCTCCGATGAGTTGTGAGTAGTTTACGACAGACCTTCGGGTCCATAGTTATTAGCTAGATGGCTTCTTCTCTCTCTTTGAATCTCAATACAAAGTTCTCCTCGATCTTCTTAGAGATCTATTCTATGTAACTCTCTTTGCGGTGTGTTTGTCGAGATCCGATGAATTGTGGGTTTATGATCAAGTTTATCTATGAGAAATATTTGAATCTCCTCTGAATTTTTTTATGTGTGATTAAGTTATCTTTGCAAGTCTCTTCGAATTATTAGTTTGGTTTGGCCTACTAGATTGATCTTTCTTGCAATGGGAGAAGTTCTTAGCTTTGGGTTCAATCTTGCGGTGTCCTTTCCCAGTGACAGCAGGTGCAGCAAGGCACGTATTGTATTGTTGCCATCGAGGATAAAAAGATGGGGTTCATATCATATTGCATGAGTTTATCCCTCTACATCATGTCATCTTTCTTAATGTGTTACTCTGTTCTTCATGAACTTAATACTCTAGATGTAGGCAGGAGTCCGTCGATGTGTGGAGTAATAGTAGTAGATGCAGAATCGTTTCGATCTACTTGTCATGGACGTGATGCCTATATACATGAGCATGCCTAGATAATCTCATAATTATGCGCTTTTCTATCAATTGCTCGACAGTAATTTGTTCACCCACTGTAATACTTATGCTATCTTGATTGAAGCCACTAGTGAAACCTATGACCCCTGGGTCTATATTTTATCATATAAGTTTTCCATCTACTTTTATTTGCATCTTTTATTTTCCAAACTATATCATAAAGATACCAAAAATATCTATCTTATCATATTATCTCTATCAGATCTTACTTTTGCAAGTGGTCGTGAAGGGATTGACAACCCCTTTATTGCGTTGGTGAGAGGTTCTTGTTTGTTTGTGTAGGTGCGTGGGACTTTTAAGGAGCCTCCTACTGGATTGATACCTTGGTTCTCAAAAACTAAGGGAAATACTTACGCTACTTTGCTGCATCACCCTTTCCTCTTCAAGGAAAACCAACGCAAGCTCAAGACGTAGCAAGAAGGATTTCTAGCGCCATTGCCGGGGAGGTCTTCGCTCAAGTCAAGACATACCAAGTACCCATCACAAACTCATCTCCCTCGCATTACATTATTTGCCATTTGCCTCTCGTTTTCCTCTCCCCCACTTCACCCTTGCCGTTTTATTCGCCCTCTCTTTCCCAATCTCCTCTCTCTTTCGCTTGCCTTTTTGTTTGCTTGTGTGTTGGATTGCTT